GAGCTGGAGGCGCCATCGACAAAGATGGTTCATTTGTGCGCCCCGAGTGTCGGGGAGTACACGAACGTCATTTCGGCGACAAATTCGGCCAGGACTTGGGCTTTGAGGGACTTTCTGCTTTCGTATTGGATGTCGAACTCAGATAGTTCCAATGACCATCTGAGCATTCGTCCTGACATGTCTGACCGTCCGAGTAATTGCTTGACGGGCTGGTCAGATCTGACCACAATCATGCGGCCCAGGAAGTAATGTTGCAACCTCCTGGCCACGTTTATGAGGGCCAAGGTGACCTTCTCGATCTTCTGGTACCTAAGCTCGGGGCCTTTGAGAGCTTTGCTCGTGAAGTATATTGGCTTCTTCCCGTCTGACGTTTCGCGGATCAGCACCGCACTGACGATCTTCGTGGCGACAACGAGATATAAGTACAAGGTTTCCCTGACCTCTGGTTTCGACATCACCGGTGGCTTCGAGAGGACCTGTTTAAGATGGCGGAGAGCCTACTCGCATTCTTCGGTCCATTCGAACGCGTCTCCTTGCGCAACAGTTTAAAGAAGGGGAGGGCGTATTGAGCGGACTTGGCGACGAATCGTGACAGAGATGCGAGCATCCCGTTTATTGACTGGATGAACCTCTTTGTACTCGGAGTGGCGAACTCAGAGAAGGCTCGACACGTATCCAGGTTGGCTTATATTTCCTTGTTCCGTTAGGTAGAAGCCGAGGAACTTACCTGCTCGCACACCGTAGGTGCACTTATCGGGGTTGAACCGCATCCTGCACTTCCTCGCCGTTTCGAAGACTTTCCGGAGGTGAGCGGTATGGTCGAACTCGTCTCGTGACTTCATGATCATGTCGTCCACGTAGACTTCGAGCATGTCACCGATTTCTCCTTGGAAGACTTTGTTCATCATCCCTTGATAGTTCGCCCCAACGTTCTTTAGGCCGAAAGGCATTACGTTGTAGTAGTAGTTGCCCGACTCGGACATGAAGGCCGTATGCTGCTTGTCGGACTTTGCCATGGGGATTTGATTGTATCCCGAGTATGCGTCCATTAACGATAGGAGTTTGAAACCTGCAGAATTGTCGACGAGTCGCCACTGATCTCACCTGATCAGAAAGGATCAATGGTCTGCCACACATCGTTGGATTGTAGCTTTCACCGGAGTTAGGGAGAAAGAGGGGGTGTACCTGCAAGACACTTCGATACTTAAGTGAGTAAAGGATCAGAGTGGGGGAGCAAATACAAAGAAGTAGGCGTAGATAATAAGATACCTGACCCTCTAGCGAAAGAGGGTATTTATCGAGAGACCCCAACGCAGGGCCAACAGTTACATTGCAATGGGCTAGACTGCCAGGCCCAACCCAAGTAATTGCTAGGGCTTACGTAGCGTAGTGAAGACCAACACGTGATCTTCGCCCTAGATCATCTGCCTCGTGATCTTCGGAAGGTGGGCTGACCAACTCTTTTGGAGGTGAGTAGTTGTCTGATGACGTGTCCCCGCGTGAGGGAGCACGCGTACAACGTGAGGGAAACATGTGGGTCTCCACCTCAAAGAAGTCGTCTGCCCGACATACATAGCCCGTGCCCTACGTAGGAGGATTGAGCCTTATTGGGCCTCTTAAACGTAGTGTTGGGTTGGGCCTGCCCGACTGAGGGGTAGGTCACGGCCGAATCCATACATTTTTTAAAAAGACCAACGACACAAATGTTACTTAACATAAAGGACCAAAGCCGTTAAATTTTTTTTTAAGAATTAACTTAATATTTTAAAATAACTTAAAAAATACTTAATTTTAATTATTTAGCAAATACAATTTCTTTTCACCAACTCCTATTATTTTAATTTGTTTTAAAATGAAATAACCCTTCATAAAAATTTCTATCAAATTTCAAAACTTATAAAATTCATTTATTTACCATACAAGGATACAATTTCAGAAATAAAAAAAAAAACTCTTATCTCAAAATAAACACATTTCAAGTGTTCTAGAAATATTTCCAACAAGTATTATGAATTAAAATATACCTTCAAAAAGTATTAACAGTTGAATCAATATGACCAATCTTAGTAATAATTTAGATAAAAATGTTAAATAAAGTAGTGGAATTTGAGTAGGTGAATTATTGTATATTGGGTGAGTGGGGTTTACATTAATTTTGCGCTTATTATGTTTTTGAAATTTTTCTTATATGATATTAATGATTGAGAAGAATGGTTAGTGATTTAGGACTCGTTTGTTTTAACTTTAAAAAAAAAAAAAAAATTTTTATAGAATAATATATTTTGATGTACAAAATTTAAAGAATTAAATTTAGAGAAATTAAAATGATTAAAACAGGAGTGTTAATACTGAAAATAGGAGGAAGGTAAAAATCACTCATCTATTTATTTTTGGTCGAAGAAGTACAATAGTCATAATTTCTTATGAAACTAATCTAGTAACTCATTATTGTGACTATTTAAAAGGAAATAAGATAAGTAAATGATTTATTTTTGGGGCCATTTCAATTCTAAAATGGTTATAAGTTTAAAATATTAAAATACATTGATATGCTAATGTCTAAATTTAAACGACTACACTACAATACGGAAATTAGTTAAGTGAAATGAAATCTATTAATATGTACATAAGAAGAGAATTCTAAAAAGAAATCTAATTATAATTAAATTGAAAAAAAATAATACTCTTAAAAAAAAATTCTTAAATAGTTTATAAGGATAAAATATGTTATTATAATATTGAAATAAAATATTACAATGTTTAATATACTAATAATTCTCGTCGGTGTTAAGAGAGTGTTGATTTAACTCTCCTTATTGATATAAGGATCTCTTTTATGAGTTATTTGTAAATATTTCAACGAGCTTATGACAATTTTTTTGGTGAGTGATATGTAAATATCTCTAAAAATGATTTCTGAGCATTAAATGTCTCTTTTGACTACGGTGAACTCTATAGTCCAAATCACCTAAACTTTATATATTCAAATATAATAAATAATTTAATATAATAATTAATTTAATACAAAAATAAGATAAAATATTTTAATTTAAAGATAAGATAACATATCATTCTAACATAATTAATTTCATCTCTCAATTAAATAAATCACAGTATTAGTCTCGTTAAGTCAACTCAATTGATAGTTGTGTATGAATATCAAATATAGGCGCAGATTTGAACTCGCAACATCTTACTTGTTCATCTTTAAAAAGATGAATTCCAGTCATTAGACTATTTGATAAAATAAATAAATAAATAAATCACAACATTCTAATGTTACTTTATAATTTGTGAGACTAATATGTTTTAATACAATAATTAAAATAAAATATTTACTTTTATTATAGAGAAAAATTCTCAGGTCTTACACCATCCCTTGTTAATTAAGAAAGTTATCATTCCATCATTTGAGGATTCTGATTATTTGGTTTGATTGCACACTAAGGCATGCTACTTGTCTTTTAAGGAAGCCTTCTTATACAAGGAGAAAGTTATCTCTCATCCTCAATGTGGTAAATCCCTTTAGTTCATTTAGTTCATTGACACCCCTCCTTCAAAATTTTGGTAGCTTAGAGAATCATGCATGACAAATTGCTAATTGATGAAAATATCAAGATTAGGGGATGCTATTTTTCTTTTATGTGTAACATTTGCCTTCAACACGAAGAAAACTCTTTCCACTTGTTCTTTGAGTGTCCATTTGCTATTAACATATTGACTTGACTTTAAGAGATTCTTGATGTTAGGTCACACTTTAACACAATCTAGGATATGTGGAAACTTTGTGATAAGTATTGTCCTCCTCAATGCAAAGTGGTCATCAAACTGACTTTGATTTTCATCATTGCAACCATCTGCTATTGCATAAACATGACCATATTTCAATCAATCTACATCAGATAGAAGAATGCCACAAGCTCAATCAAAGTTGCAGTGTTCATGTTATATAAAAGAACAAACCACACATTCTTGAATTCTATGACTAACTTTCATATCATGAAGAATTTTGAGGCAGAGGTGCATCCCCATCGAGCTTCCAGAATCCTTGAGGTCATTTGGATGTCCCATTTTACAAACTAGATAAAAGTTAATATAAATGAAACATCATCAATATCTTCTGCAGCTTGTGCAAGAATCTTCAAAAACTATGGTTAGAAGTTTGGTGTGCAGAGTTTGAGAAAAACTTGAGAATCCGTAGTGCCTTTTTCGTTGAGATTGCATGTACAATTAGGGCTATTGAAATTGGTCAGGCTAATTATTAACATTGTCTCTAATTAGAAACTAATTCCACTTTAATAGTTAACGTATTTTCTTGCCTTTGTATCCATTCCTTAGTCTCCAAGGCACCATTGAAATGATTGCAAATAACATCTATTCGGACACCACGACCAATGAAAAATTGAGCATGATAGAATATGCTTCCTTCATTGACATACCTATAAGACTTTGTAATAATTTGATTAGAAATAAATTTAAATTACCTAACTTTAAATTTACTTCTTAATGAAAGATTTGACGTCAAAACCAATTTCTATTTGTATCATTCTTCCTTTTCTTAATATATTTGACCTCAATATAAAAAATTTTAATCCAACATCACCGTATTAGATTCTTTATTGATAAGAATATAGATAAATAATAAATGTTGCAATCTTACAAAATCATCTTTACTACCTAAAAAATACTTTCTAATTTAATGCATAAAACAAATACCACAAGAAAATAAAAAATACAAAAATACATAATAACTACGAATGTTATAAGGGTAACGTAAAGTAAATAAATATCCTTTCAAAATCAGTAATGCTAGCATCTGGCACGTCACATCACAAGAGCAAAGCTAATCTCACACACCCACTTTCTCTCTCATGAGTAATGAGTTGCCTCATACTGTATCCCTATAAATGCGGTTTCTCACTCTCACTACTCTTCAACTTCAAAACGTTCAGCTCCTGCTTCTATTTTCGTCGTTCACTTCACTGGCACACACTTCCACAATGGAACTTCATCGCCTAGGGTTTCTCACTTTTCTCTCTCTACTACAGGCAACTCTCTCTCTCTCTCTCTCTCTCTCTCTCTCTCTCTCTCTCTCTCTCTCTACCTTCGTTTCTTCGATTTCCAATTCAACTAACTTCGCATTATTCATCTAAGAATTATTCACATTCAGAGCATGCAATTCGTTTTCGAAAGTTGATCGGTTAAGAAAATGTACGCGCGAGAGATTTTGAACTCAATTATGGAAAGTGAAGTAGCGCGTGAGTGAAAATTGTGAAGTGATTTCGGTTTCTTTAAAAGGAAACATCACAATTTGATAGCATTTATTGAATTATATTATTGATTGATGAATTTTGTTGATAATAAATGCGTCGATTTCTTGAAGATTTATGCGGTTTGTGTGTTATTATCGTTGCAGGTTTGTTTAATTTTATCTTTAACAGAAGCGGAAGTTTTATCCACAAGGCTTCTTTTGGCATCTAATGATATAACACCTCGGTAAGTAGTTCTTGTAACTAGTATTTGACTGAGGAGATAAGTTTAAATTATAGGTGTAACGGTATAGTGAGAATTTTTTTGATCTGGAAAATAGAAAAAGATTTTAGTTCAATTTTGTTTTTTATATTTACAGGGAAAAGCATTCTGAGGATTATTGTTCAATGTATGATATTTGTGGAAAGCGAAGTGATGGTAAAGTAGTGAATTGTCCATTTGGTTCTCCTGCTGTGAAGGTATATTCGAGTGAATTTTCGTTTTTGTGTTCGGTGTTATTATATGTGGTGGTGATTTTTTATTTATTTTATTTTTAGCATGTTTGTTTTGGCTTTTGGAAGAGCCAAAAGCAATTCTAGATTCCGGCGGAGTGATTTTGATGTGTTTGGTTCTTCTAAAGTAGAATTGATTCTGCCTCCAGAATTGATTCTATTTGAAGCTAGAATTTGTTGCTTCTGAATTTAAACTTGATTTTTATACTGAATTTTTTTTGTTTAACTCACTTTTATATAAATTTATCCAAACATAAATCAATTATACTAAATTCTATTCTGTTAAATTCAATTCTACCAAACTCAATTCTGTCAAAATCAATTATGTCCAAACTCAATTCTGTTAAAATCAATTTGATGTATGTTCTTAAAAGCATAATTTGTGTATTAAATCTACTTTTAACTTTTTAATCTTTATTAAGATGTGTCATGATTTTGGAAACACTGTTTTTTTTCTTCCAGCCAGATGATTTGCTTTCATCAAAAATCCAAAGTCTGTGTCCAACAATTACTGGGAACGTTTGCTGTACAGAAGCTCAGTTTGAGACATTAAGGACACAAGTTCAGCAGGTATGAATACCAAATTTTGTATTTTTGATTCATAAACTACATGGACTTATAATTGATTTCGTTTCAGAGCTTCTTTAATACTAATATATACTACCTAGTAATGATTTGTACATTTTGTTCTTGCAGGTAATTCCTTTTCTTGTAGGTTGTCCAGCATGTTTAAGAAACTTTCTGAATCTATTCTGCGAGCTTACATGCTCTCCAGATCAGAGTTTATTTATCAATGTGACTTCAGTGGACAAGGTAAGATCTATCACATTCCTTTCATTTTTTATTTAATTACTTGCTTATTCTGCATGGCATTTTGTTCTTTATCACTTGTCATTAGTTAAAACAAGAAGAAATTTATGTTTAATGATTCAGCTTGCCAGGAAGATGTATTTTCTCCTTTTCTCTCTCCCATTTTTAGATGCATATCTACTGGCTGTTGCTCTTGCACTTCACTATTTTCCTTTTATTATAATTTGTTGTTGTTTCATCACGATATAAAGAATAACGCAATCAAACAGGCATATGACTAAGCAAGTTTCAATTTTGTGGTTTTGTTCTTTTATATTATTATGACCAGTGATACAAATCACAAACTGCTGCTGTATTAACTTTATATTGCAACTATTTACTCTAGTTATTACAATTCTTAGGTTGGTGGTAATTTGACAGTGGGTGGCATCGATTATTTTGTAAGTGACGCATTTGGGGATGGATTATATGACTCCTGCAAGGATGTAAAGTTTGGCACCACAAATTCTAAGGCTATACAATTTGTTGGTGGTGGTGCTCGAAATGTTAAAGGTAAATTTCACTTTTAAATCAAATCCTTAATCAAATACCATTCCTCCTTCTCATTTTTCTGCATATACATTTGAAGGCCATCTCGATTATATTCCTGACTATTTAAGTATACTGGCAAGTATCAAGAGTTAGAAGTAGACAGACAGATTGGAACTATCATGTTTATGATTTTTTTTTGTTTATTTTCTTTTGCGTTAAAAAATAAGAAACATGCAATGATGGAACCAAACTTTCCATTTTAATTTTGAGCCAAATACGTTAGGGTAAACTAACATTTGATACAGTGGCAACTATGCAAATGCAACTGTAAATGTTCTTTTTGATAGGGGTTGAGTGGGTAAAATTATTCTTTAGAGTATTGCCTAAAGCTTATGCTGTGATTGCTTTTGGCAGAGTGGTTTGCTTTTATTGGCAAAAAAGCAGCCCCTAATGGTCTTGGTTCACCATATGCAATTACGTTCCCACCAAATGCAATTAAGTCATCTGGGATGGAAGCTATGAATGTTTCAGCTTATTCCTGCGGTGATATTTCTCTTGGCTGTTCTTGTGGTGACTGTCCTTCATCTTCAGTATGCTCTAGTTCATCTTCAGCTACAACCCAAAAGAAGGGTTCGTGCTCCTTGAAAGTTGGGACTTTAACGGTAACGTAGAATATGATATGATTTGATATTTTCCAGCTGTATTTTTTTGTTTACATGAAGAACAAAATGTGATTTAAGCCTATTATGCGTTCTTTAACTGACATGATTTTACCTTATGACTCCTCTAGGTTAAGTGTGTTGACTTGGCTTTAACAGTCTTATACATCATACTGATATGCGTGTTCTTGGGTTGGGGGTTGTATCATCGAGTAAGGGAAAGAAAGCCGGTATATAGAATGAAATCAGTGTCTAATGTCACTAATGGCGGCACACAGTACTCTCATAATCAGGAGAAGGAGGAGAACCTCCCAATGCACCAGGTTCATAACCGAATACTATTTCTTCGATATGAACACATGTTTGAGAGTTATCTTCCCTTTTTTTCTCCTTCCTTATGCATCCTTGTATGTCCAATTCTGACTTTGTTCTGATTGGGTGCTTTTGATTCAAGATTATTGAAGATGTTTCACAAAACAGAAACGAAGTACGACTCTCTGCCGTGCAAGGATACATGTCAAAATTTTACAGGTCACTGCTCATTTTATCAACTTTCATATCATCTCACAGAGAACAATATCTGACTTCATGTTTACAAATTTGATCAGGAAGTATGGATTGTATGTAGCTAGAAACCCAAATGTGGTCTTGGCTTCATCTTTGGCCATAGTTATTTTACTTTGTTTAGGTCTAATCAAATTAAAGGTTGAGACGCGGCCTGAGAAGGTATCACATAGCTTCTACTCAATTGTTTAAAATGCATTTTATTGCCTTTCTGGAGAAGCATCTATCCACCTGGAAATAAGATCATTTTCCCCACCCATGAACATGTATATGATTTCCAAGTACGATTAATGAATTTTTCATCTCACATGAATCTGAAACTTATAAGCAATTAGCTCTCTGGTTTAAAATAGTCTGTTTTTTGTTCATTTACTTCAAATGCTCTTGCAATTTGTAGCATGGCTTTTTTGCTGATCCTTTCACTCTTTAAATCTCCACTCACTTGAGTTCCCACTTCATTGGTGTTTCTGGTTTTCTAGAGATAGGTTAAGTTTGTTAAAGAGATTGACTGCTTTTACTCTGGATATGATAATTTGAAAGGGAATTTGGATTCTGTTTTGAACATCCAATGTTGCTTTGTACTTGTTATTTTATGGATGTAATAAGGTGGGTGTCACTGTTTGAGAATTATTTTTAATAGGGGAAAATTGTTTGGTTGAACAATCTTCTGGTGAGAGCATCAATAGGTGCAATGAACCATTGCAATTTTAAATTCAAATGTAATAAAAATATTCACTGACAAGAAGAAACTTAGATGTTCTGTTATTATGTTTTAGTGGTTACGTTTTCAGGAAGGCTACATGATTTATGAACATTTCTCCTTTTCCTTCCTGTTGTATATTTTACATAAGTTGAGTTTGTGAAAAAACTTCCACACTTTTCAGCTCTGGGTGGGACCTGGGAGTAAAGCAGCGGAAGAGAAGCAGTTTTTTGATAGCCATCTTGCTCCGTTTTACAGAATTGAACAGGTGCTTACGTTGTCCCATTTCTTGTGTTCTCCCCAATCCCCACAATGGAACAACTTTTCAACTTCATAATAAACAACCTTGCCTTATGAATTTCTCGTTTATTTTATTTAGTGACTTCTTTCCCTATGGGTCCGTTTGTTTTGTTTTTTTTTAAAAATGATTTTTATAGTGTAACATATTTTGGTGTAAAAATGTTTTTCAAAGAAACTTTTCAAAAAAGTTTCAAATGAAAATTTGGTTTGAATAGTTATTCTTAAAATGTTAATTTATATCGAAAAAATTTTTGGATGTCAAAATTTCAAAAAATCACTTAATTTTGAAGATATTTCAAATAGTTTTTCATAAAAATCGTTTTTGAGATATAACTTTTTGAAAAAATTGTGATTTTGACTATGTTTTGATTTTCAATAATGTATGTTTATGTTATAGTATCTAAAAATTTGTCTTTTAATTTATAAAATATAAATTTAGAAAAACTTGTAATATTTTGAAAAACGTTTTTGTAGAATCCATTTTCAAAAATATAAAGAAAAAATCCAGTTTTTTAAAGATAAAACAAACTGGCCCTATATTGTGTAAAAAAGGATGCATCTTTCTTATTTCATTGCATAATTGCATGGTTTTTCAGAGGACAAAATGTACCCATTAACAAACTTGTTGTAGAAAGAACAACTTTTTTCTATACTAATGCTTTGCCTAAATGCATTCTTTGCTAAAAGGAATGAAGCGACAATGCCATCTATTGTGCTATTGTAATCCACACCAAACATTCTTGTCATGTTTTCTTTTATATTTTAATGTTAATATTAGTTTGATCATCCTAACAAGTCAATACTATTCTGTATTATGCAAAGCAAGGCAATATGTAATAATCTTCAAGCAAGATTTATTGTTCATTTATCTTGTTAAATGACACGGTTGTTTGTTTTACTTGCAGCTCATATTGGGAACAATTCCAGATGATGTGAATAGTACATCACCAAGAATTGTGTCAGAGGACAACATTAAGTTTCTGTTTGAAGTACAAAAGAAGGTTAGTATTCCATTCCACTTAGTTGTAGTACTGAAATATTTTGATGAATGTGTAAGTTTAAGCCATTGCTGTCAGGTTGATGCAATTCGTGCTAATCATTCTGGCTTGATGGTATCTCTACAAGACATTTGTATGAAGCCACTCGACACAGATTGTGCCACTCAAAGCATCCTGCAGGTAGTTATTGATTTTCAAGAAGAGAACTTCAATTCATTATTATTGTAATAAATTTGCATGATTTTATCTTCTTTTGATTAGCAATTTGTCTTTTCCTAATTGACAGTACTTCAAAATGGATCCCGACAATTTCGACAATTATGGTGGAGTTGAGCATCTCAGTTACTGTTTTGAGGTAGCGAATGTTAACTTTACATCACGATGTTGGTCGTAGTAGTGGATGTTCGGCTGACATTTTTCATGTTCGCATGAAAAAAATTACTAAAATCTATTACCATACTGTACAATCGTATAGAGTAGTCAATGCTGTCTTCCACTGCAAGTTTTTGAAGTCTTGCATGGAGCACATTGAATTTTTGAAGTTGGCCCACCACTTTAAATACCTTTGTCGATGCATTTTCTCTTTATTTCAATATGATATAATAACATTTTGCTGTTGGTACTGGTAGCATACTTGCCCAGTGATTGATGTGAATTCTTGATAAATGCACTGGGGAGAATATAATTTTGATCAAAACCCTCTCTGCCTCTTGAATGTCAATGAAATTTTCTATATCATGGGGAAGTTGGGAAGATGTCATGGATGGAAGTGACCGAAATTTCTAACTTGAAGTTGAATTTTCCATGTTACATCAAGTCTCTATAAAGAGAATTTAGATTCATGACTACGGGCAAAGTTCTTTGCTCTTTTGTTATGAGTGATATGTTCTTACTTTCTTGAGTAATGAATATGAAACTTTTTCTATGACAAACATTGACAATGATATGTATACAATATAATTTCAAATTGACATAATTATTTTCATCTATTGTGTTCATTCAGCATTATTCCTCAGCAGATCAATGTATGAGTGCATTTAAAGGCCCTCTTGATCCAAGCACTGTATTAGGAGGCTTTTCTGGGAATGACTATTCTGGGGTACATTCTCTATTCTTCTGCGTTGTCAATGAATTAGGATTTATAAAGCATATGATAACTATAATCTCATTTATTCAAGACAGGCTTCTGCATTTATTATAACTTACCCAGTAAATAATGAAATTGATAAAGAAGGCAATGAAACTGCAAAGGCAATTGCTTGGGAGAAGACCTTTATACAGTTAGTGAAGGTATGCATCTTTTGTTTATACTTTTTGACTTCATTTAGATGCTTACCATGTATTGTTAATAATCCAATTGACTAGAAATGGGGTCTAATAAGAACTTATAAAGCTTAGGCACTCCATATCTTACAGGCTAATTTTGGGGGGTTGAGTTGGTCTCAAAACCTAAGATGGGATAAGGGCCTATCCTAGATTCATCGTTGAGTCACCCACCGATGGGGGGACCACCATATTATCCACACACGCGCACCAAACCCAACAGTGTCATGCGTTAGAGGGTGAATTTGGAAAAATCCAAGTACCACATTGACTTGAGATAGTGCCTAATAAGAGCTGATAAAGGTTGAAATCTCTCCTCACCTTGGTTTTGTGACGTTCAGTTAGCCTCGAAACCAAAGACCGCTTCATCAAAACCCTATATTTTAACTTATTTGCTTCTGCAGAAATGAAACCGAGTCAAGGTTGCTGCAGTGCAATGTCATGCATCCCTAGGAAAGTACTTTCTACCAGGTTGATTGGCGAGTCTTAGTACTCACACAGTTGCATGTAGCTTAATTTACCCATCTCATGACTATGTCCTGCCTTGTAGAAAAAACAATAAAACGATGCACATAATGTCTTGGTTCATTGCTTGCTTATCCTTTATTGATGTGATATGGTTGTGTATTGTGGTACTGACCCATTACACTTCCTATCATTCTCCTAGTATTCCTGATTTCCTTTATTAACTGTGTCCTTTATTATAGAATGAGCTGTTACCGATGGCACAATCAAAAAATTTGACACTTGCTTTTTCATCTGAAAGCTCTATTGAGGAAGAACTGAAAAGAGAAAGCACTGCGGATGTTATTACTATACTGGTAATTTCCCTCTTCCTTTTTATGTGTTCTAATTCTTCAATAATACCATGAAAAACTAACTTTTTTGTTTGAGGCGTGATCACGAAATTATGTGAATGAGTTCTCTGTAATCTTTCAACAAAAAAAATCAATCATTCTTGTTTATGGATGTATATTGTTTAATCCTTAAATTGTACCTGATTTTAATGCAGGTCAGCTATCTTGTGATGTTTGCTTATATATCTCTTACTTTAGGGGATACACCCCAGCTTTCTTCTTTCTATATTTCATCTAAGGTGAAGTTTTAGGGAACCTTAGTATAAAAACACCTTCGTTTTCCCTTCTCTTTTATCTTAATTCCTCCCCCTCCATAACAATTCATTACTACTAGGGAATTAGACTTTCATTTTATATCATTGAGATAGATTTTTTTAATGCCTATAAATATCTAATTGTATAGTTCTATATTATAGGTATTGCTTGGTCTTTCAGGAGTAATTCTTGTTATGCTCTCTGTCCTTGGATCTGTTGGAATTTTTAGTGCTCTTGGTGTAAAATCTACTCTGATCATCATGGAAGTTATCCCATTTCTTGTTCTAGCTGTAAGTTTTCTTTTGCTTATAAAGTGTTGTTAGATGATAGCTCAGTGAAACTTATATTTATCACTATTCCTTCTGTTGTGTTAATGATGGTGTTCTAGATGCTTCAGAGAAATACATGTGTAAAGGTAAATTATTCTAAATATATAAAGTAACCAAAAGAAAAAAGATAGAGCAGAAGTAGAAGTAGCATAAGGAATGCAGAGATCATATGTTGAATAGATGGTGAAGATAAAGAAAATTTACTATTTCTGGTTTCTAGTTAAGAAGTTATTTTGGAAAGGCCTTCCTTAATGTGAAGACAGAAACTTACCCCGGAGTTTATGTTAATATTTGAGTGAGTGTCATCCCAAAACTCATCTGCAAATTAAAGAAAAATTAACATGATAAAATGTCTGTGAATGATCTTGATTTATGCTCACAAATGGATAAATAGGTCAGCTTCAGAATGGATAAATAGGTCAGCTTCAGAATCAAGATTGAAGCTTTCTTACCCAACTCAAGTAGAAGGAGAAGTCAATTTGTGACAGTTAGTTGGAGAAAAGTAGTATACATAGTTAAAAGGACAACACAGGGGAGGTGGATGTCATCCAGACTTTTAAGTATTGAATAAATATAACAGTGGCTCTGTTGTAGCTTTATAGTAGAAACGAAAACCCTTATAGGTGAGAACTCTCCCATTCTAGTCAATGAAATTGTTCTTTCTTTTCTTGGACTCGTGATAACATGTCTGATCTGTCGGATCCTTGAGGAACTACTGGAGATTATGTAATCAAGATAGGAGCTATTGAGAATTCTATGACATTCTTGAAGGGAGCCAACAATCATGGGATACAGTGACCTTTGATGGGCGAGCTTACTCCAGCTTAAACATAATCTGAAACAGCCGCTAAAGAAGAATGTACCTGGTTGCTTGCAATGATTAGAGGGTGGGCGATGTTGGGTGCAAGTGTGAGTGGCTAAAGTCCCACATTGCATGAATGGGTGGAATATTGGATTTATAAGAGAGAGGATTCATTTACCTAACACCTTAAGGTTTTGAGTTAAGATGTAGTGTCTCTCTCTTGTGGTCCTGGAGCATTAGGCCTATTGTTGCTCTCGACTCTCTCGGGCTCCCAAGAGACGATCTGTTATGAGATCAAGAAATGCATTGAAAGGACAAGGGGAATCAAGCATTCAATGGGTCAAGAGAATTTGATTTGTTTAATTATATTTATGAATTGTATTTTTATTACTTTGCTTAACAAATATGTGAGCAAAATATTGTCAAAGTTGGAGTTTGAAACAAAACAAGCATATGGAGCACTATTGGGACTTGACTATTTTCTTAATATACAAATATATTGGTCATAAGCAAGATTAACAACATCAATAAAATTTTATTATTCTATTAATGATTGTTCCCTTACCTATGTCAACATGTTGACTGTAATACAATTTGTGTCATCATTACGCATTCTCATTGAAACATTAAATCTACAGTTATGCGCTAGCAAAACAATATATTAACATGAAGTTGACACTTTCTCATTGAAACATTATAGCTCAATTTTCCAAATTCAACAACTCATTAAGTTTTTTTATGTCTACCATTCTTTTGATCCGACTCTGTCTTACTGAATCTCCCACTATTAGGTTGGGGTGGATAATATGTGTATACTAGTTCATGCTGTGAAAAGGCAACAACTGGATTTGCCTTTAGAAAGACGGATAAGCAATGCACTCGTGGAAGTTGGACCATCGATAACGTTGGCTAGTTTATCAGAGGTTTTAGCATTTGCAGCCGGAAGCTTTATTTCCATGCCCGCGTGTCGTGTCTTCTCCATGTTTGCAGGTAAGCTTTTATGCTTTAATAATTTCATACCTCTGCAATAGTCTCAGCTCAGCTGTTTCTTATGTCAAATCTCAAATGTTAATCCTCACCTTCCCTTCACGCTTTCATTCACAGCGTTGGCCGTACTCTTGGACTTTCTACTGCAAGTTACTGCATTTGTAGCTCTGATAGTTCTCGACTCTTTGAGGGCAGAGGATAAGAGGGTTGATTGTTTTCCATGCATTAAAGTGCACTCTTTGCATGCAGACCCTGATAAAGGTATAACAAAATTTTAATCTGTGTGATGAAACTTCCATATTCTATTACTTCCTTTTTTTTTTCTTTCTTTTTCTTTCAAATTGGTTGTATGTTTTCTCTCTGTCATCTTTAATTTTTATACATTTGGATGACCAAAACGGTCATTTACTCTTGAAAAATATTTACAAGCTTAGGTGGATTTTATTGAAGTTTGTTTTTCATAACATCTCAGGCATTGGACAAAGGAAACCTGGTTTGTTGGCTCGATATATGAAGGTAATTAGCATTATATCTTAACTAACAATAATTGTTTGCTGGTACTTAATAGTGGACTAAAACATAACTAGACTTGTTTGCAATTTTTGTAAAGCACAATGTATAAATTTTAATCTAGCCATAATTGGAAATTGTATAATTGTAAAAAGGGAGTTAATGGTTTGCTAGCCTTCAACCATAGTTGGGATTTGAGTTTGCAAAGATGCAAGGGCCACAAATATTTGTCAAGCTATCAACAAATAGTTTATTTAAATCTTAAATTAAGTTTTCCAAAGTGTTACGTTTGGAATTTGTCTTGCATTCCTTTTGAATTTTTTTGAACAAACATGCCGTTTGAATTTAATGTCATTTATCCAACGCCGAGTACCAGGAGTTCTCGGACAAGTTCCAAAAACCAAAATGTGAGAGAAAGCCTAAATGGAACAACAAGCCAAACAACAGAGACCTACAAAAATAAAAAGCCCAGAAGCCAAGGAACACCGACACCACCGCAGAACAACCAAGAAAAAGAAACAGAAACCGTCCACCCACGAAGGAACCCAAAAACTGACAAATACTACCAAGCCCATACTTTTGCTTGTTGCTTAATTATTTTCTCAGTTTGACATGATTCTGATGATAATGCTATATTTCCCTTTCAGGAGGTTCATGCTCCCATTCTAAGTATTTGGGTAGTAAAAATGGTTGTCATTGCAATTTTTGTGGCATTTTCATTGGCTAGCATTGTAAGTCTTTGGATTTATTTCTACATCCATAAGAAATTTCAAACCAGATTACCAGACCTGTTAGGATACTAACACAGCTTTTTCTTTCTTCTCTCTTCTACCCCTTTCTATTTGTCTTCATCTAAACCACACAGGCTTTGAGCACTAGAATTGAACCTGGATTAGAGCAGGAGATTGTTCTTCCCCGAGACTCATATCTTCAGGTTTGACATTTTGGCCTGTATCATGTATTCATGTTTTCTTTTATTCATGTGTATTTGTTCAAACTGCATATATGTCTTCCTGCAGGGGTATTTCAATAATATTTCGGAATATCTCAGAATTGGGCCACCTTTGTATTTTGTTGTGAAGAACTATAACTACAGGTATTTTAGTCCTATCGTGTGTTTTTTACTGCATCCACCTTTATGTTTAAGAATTAATTTTTTAGAGCTTGTTAGTTCCAGGAGTGCGTGTACTAGTGGTAGTAATAGTTGTGCTTCTTGTAGTTTAGTACATTCCAATTTTTACTCAATAATGCATGTAATGTATAAAAATTGCACCAATGCATATTCTCTTTTTTTGATGTATTTCTACTATTAGGGTGTGTTTGGTTCGGGGTAGATGGAGGGGAGGGGAGGGGAAATTTTTAATTAAATATGTTTGGTTCAAATTTTAGAAGGGGAGGGGAGGGGAGGGAAGCAAAATCCCTCCAAAACACACTTTTTGGTTCCCTCCGAATTGGGGGGATTTGGAGGGGAGGGGAGGGAATATTAGTTTTGATATTTAAAAATTATTATATTTACTAAAATATCCTTAGTTTAATTTCAGTATTTCAAAACTATTTGTTTTCTTTTGTGTTACTGTTTTTTCTCGATTGTTTTCATCAACTTATTATAATTGCTCTCCACCTTCAAATTATTTAATAATTTTTATAATTAATATAAATCATAATCATTGTCTTTTTTATATAAAAAAATTATGTTTCGTTATATTCGTTTTTTTCTTTTAATTTTGTTATGTACTCTATCATTTTTTTTATATCAAATTGTAAACCATATCATTTTATTTATTTTTGTTTATTCATTTTATTAAATATTTTGAACCATTAATACTTAGTAATAAGTTATTTTATATATTTGTTTTGTTATATGATTCATCACAATTTAAACGATGTTATTAACATATAGTTTAATTTATGTTGGAAAGTTATAAGTCGAATCAATTGTACTCAATTTTTTTTAACTTTATGTGACAAATAAATACTTTTTTAATCACTCAATATTAGAAATTTTATTATCAACAAAAATACGCACAAATTATTCACATTTTAATATCATATGACTTATATAAGATCATAAGGATAAAAATGTAAATTATTAATAAAACCCCTCCCCTCCCCTTCTGAACCAAACACATTTTTTATTAAAATGCCTCCCCTCCCCTCCCTCCTCTCTTTTGAACCAAACACTTATTTAATTAAAAAAATCCTTCACCTCCCCTCCCCTCCCCTCCCCTTCATTAAAATCCCTCCCCTCCCCTCCCCCTCATTTGAACCAAACAAACCCTTAGGGAATATCTTTTCCTTTACTATTGGTGTCAGCTACTAATGGATAAGTTTCGTTAACCATGATAATATAAGGTTATTCATTGAACATCCACATATAGTCATACTATTTGTCATTTTCTAATTATATTTGCAGTTACTGTCATGTTTTTGTACTAATGATATCAACATTGATCATACTAACTTGTTATTTACTAAGTACATCCTCCTTGATTGTGAGGCGGGATTGATCTCAGATTGTTTCACCTGAACAAATTTTTATTTAGTTTTGAATTTCTCTTGGAAAATATCTATCCGAGTTTGTGAAACTTCAATTAAATATAAGTGGTGCAAATATCTCTGGAAGGGAAATGCGTACCCTAGTCTTGCTACTTCTATGTTGGGAATGGTTTGATCTAATGTTATTTCCTGACCTCAGCTCAGAATCAACACATACAAATCAGCTTTGCTCCATAAGCCAATGCGATTCAGACTCTCTTTTAAACGAGGTAAAGCACTAGCATTTGGCTTATTTGATTCTGATTTATATATGATTGTGAGTTGTAACTACTAACCATACATTTTGGTTGAATGTGGAATATTTTCCTTGCAAATACATTATATCTTAATGAGACATCAGTTTACTTTTGCATTTATTCCAGTTGTATTAAGCTGGTAGTCCACGCCATTGATCTAGTTCTTTTCATTAACTAGTTCATAATTTTATTTTTCCTACATATCTGTGATAACTTGGATACTTCTTGTTATGGATGTTGTATTTTTACCTTGTAGGTTGCTAAAGCGGCCCTAGTACCAGGCACAAGCTATATTGCTAAGCCAGCTGCTTCCTGGCTCGATGATTTTCTTGTGTGGGTATCTCCAGAAGCATTTGGGTGCTGCAGGAAGTTCACTAATGAGACCTATTGCCCTCCTGATGATCAGGTCTGGTCCACATATTAAAAGATACTGATTTATATGTCAAATCTCAATTATGTCAGTATGTGCTTATACGTGTTTTATGATGCTTAACAAGAGAATAGGATTTTTCTTTATTGGTAAATAATATTTTTGAATAAAAGCTCTTCCTTACAAATTTCTTTTTAGTTTTTCATAATAAAAAAACGAGAGAAAAGGTAATGGAGGATAATATTTTGGTAGATGACAGTTATATTTTCTTCCCAGCCTCCTTGCTGTGCTCCTGAAGAAGGAGGCTCCTGTGTTTCAGCTGGAGTATGTAATGATTGCACAACGGTAACAGACAAAATTTTTATCAGTGCCATCACTGTCACAATAGTTTTTGGTTTCTGTTTTAAGGCCTTAGTCTAACACTTTGGTAAGTTGTGCAGTGTTTCCGTCACTCCGATCTTCATAATGATCGTCCTTCCACTACACAGTTTAGGGAGAAACTGCCGTGGTTTCTTAGCGCTCTTCCATCTGCTGACTGTGCAAAAGGTGGTCATGGGGCTTACACCAGCAGTGTTGAACTGAAAGGTTTGATGATTTAAAGACACTCTTTTATTCTGTTTTTAATTCACATTTAAGTATGTGTATGGTTCCACGTCGGGGAGATGCAAAACGCATGTTTCCACTAGCTGAACCTGATGCACATTGGTTAATGGGGGTGTTTGGATGTCATCTGTAAAATTGATTATAACTGAAGCAAGACTTTGTAGCTTCTGCATGATCAAAATTAATTCTTCACTAAAACCTTTCATAAACAAAATAACAAGTATCACGAGTTCCATTTTCTCCATATTGCCCCTCCAAAAACAACTCCCACACTGAAAATAAAAACAGACAAGAGTAGAAAGGTTACAACATGTTTTGATTTTATAAGTATTTAATCTGAGTAGTTATTAGTGTATTTCTCCACATTGCCCCGATTAGTAAACAGATCCAACAAATTATAATTCTGCTTAAATACTAATAACCCTCGTTAAAATAGTTATATATATTTGATAATTTAAATTAAGGTAAAAAGTAGTAATTTAAACCATATTAAACCAATTATAAAATTGTTAATGAATGTAATATATCTTATACAATTATATGAAATTTAACAAAGCAACATAAATTTAAATAGTTCACTATAATGTAAATGAAATATCTAGTGTTAAATAAAATTAAAACCCATTTTGGTAATTATATGTCTAAAAGCAATTCTGAAATACACTATCCAAGCACCAAGAATTTATGAGAACCACTTTTATGTAACCATATCTAAACATAAATCAACTTACGCCCAACTCACTTTTAACCATAATCAATTGTTGACATCAATTCTATCAAACTCAATCCTTTCCACCGCTGAACCAAACACACGCTCTCCTTTAGGTCAACTTTAGACACAGAGCTCCCTTGAACTCTGAAATGAGATCCAAAGTGCGTGATATCTTACTTTGGAACTGTATTTTGGTTTTTAGGATATGACAGTGGCATTATTCAAGCATCATCATTCCGTACATATCATACCCCACTGAACAAGCAGGTTGTATTTCTAATTTTTATATTATCTACTATATGGTTAAAGTTATATAAAAAACTTCCAAGTTTAACTGTAAAACTGGTTTAGGTTGACTATGTTAATTCCATGAGAGCTGCTCGAGAGTTCAGTTCAAGGGTTTCTGATTCTTTGAAGGTAATGTATAAATTTTTCTGCATGGTAAATCACGCTTTTTTGGTCATTAAATTGCATATAAAATGTAGAAACAAATAGTAATACTAATCAGAGTGAGGGAATGTCTTGACATGCTCATTTATTCAGCAATTGAGAATATAAGTCTCTTGCATTTGTTATAGTAAAAAGAATGAAGTAGCAGATTTGGATTTTTACCATGTTCAATGTGTTTGAACTAAGATTCCTTTTCTGTGCAGATTGAGATATTCCCATATTCGGTGTTTTATATGTTTTTTGAGCAATACCTGAATATATGGAAAACTGCACTGGTCAACCTTGCAATAGCTATTGGTTAGTATTGAGACCTATAAGTCTGTACATGTTAATGTATACAGTCTGCAATTCATAATCACTTCTGTAATGATTACAGTCTGCAATTTACTTACTGTGCATGTTGCTGCTGGGCTGTGAAATAGTAACACTAAAATTATGATGTAACAGGTGCAGTATTTATTGTGTGCTTGGTTATCACATGCAGGTGAGGATAAGCTTATTTTAGCAAATGGTTCAATCCTTTTCACCTTCCTTAATTAGATAGAAGTATCAGTGTTTTATTATCTGATGAATCCAACAATCATGGTTTGATCCTTCTTCGATTTCAATGTTTATGCAGTTTATGGAGTTCAGCAATCATTTTGTTGGTGTTGACAATGATTGTTATTGATCTTATGGTATTTTCTTCTTTTCAACTCTCTGATTTTTTACTTATGTATGCAAATATGTAATATAGATATAGTTCTTTTTATATATTGCTTCATAATTTTATTGGTGCTTGATATTTAGAATTTCAAATCACCATGTCAATTTGGTTACTTACAATATTATGCTTTGTAGGGTGTGATGGCCATTCTGAATATCCAATTGAATGCCATCTCAGTTGTCAACCTCGTTATGTCAGTGGGCATCGCTGTTGAGTTTTGTGTGCATATGACTCATTCTTTCACTGTTAGTACCACTCCTTTTTAGTTTACCTTACACAATGTACAGGTGTATACTACACTGCATTGTAATTTTTATATATGAGCTAGTTTCTGTCAGTTTCACAAAACTAAATCTTCCTGCAGGTTGCAAGTGGAGATAAAGATCAGCGTGTTAAGGAGGCTCTGGGTACAATGGGTGCTTCAGTCTTCAGGTGATCTTGTGCTAGCATAAATATCTTGTTCTGTTTCTTGACTTGCACACATGCAGCAAGTGAGAAATCATATTTCTCATGTTGCTCTTTGGTTTACTCCCAATTCTCTATAGCAAATCATGAACAATAGATTTGCGGGCATGAACTTATGACATACCTGATGCACTGATAGTATTTTTACAAAAATCATAGAAAATTATTCCTCGAGTTTGCTTTCAACAAATTTACACGATATATCTGTGTTGTTTCTAACATGGTTTCAATGCAACTGTTTCACATTTGCATCCATATATTATTGGCTTAAATTTATGCTTGGTTTCTCTCCTGAACAATATTCACTTTATGCTATTGCAGTGGTATCACATTAACAAAGCTGGTTGGTGTTATTGTTCTTTGCTTCTCGAGAACAGAAGTTTTTGTGGTATTATGAGTTCATCTTCTGTTTTTTGGTCGGCGTGTGATATACTATACGTGCGCAATAACTAGTTTTCCTTTTTGCAGGTTTATTACTTTCAGATGTACTTGTCATTAGTACTTCTTGGTTTTTTGCACGGACTTGTTTTCTTGCCGGTTAGTGTTGTTATGTTCTAAATTAGTTTTTCATAAATGCATTAACTAAAAGGATAAAATAGAAGAAAAGCTGCTAGGACTTTTTTTTTGCAATGAACTTGATTGTTGAAACTGAACATATTTGTTGTTGTTGCTGCAGGTGGTGTTAAGCATGTTTGGTCCACCTTCAAGATGTATAATCACTGACCATGTGGCAGATCGATCATCAACTTCTTCGTAACTATATATACTAAGGCATTGGATGACAGATTATAGTTCGGAAAATCTGTAAAGTTCAAAAAAACAAGTGGTAAAGAAAAGAAAGGAAAGTTCTGTAATATTTATCAGTGTAATTATTACAGTTGAATTAGAGATATATCTAGTCTAACCAGTATTGTTGTTTGTAATTAATTTTTTTATTTTCTATATGGATTATTTATTACAGATTATTGTATTTATAGTGCCTAAATAAGGTGTTCTTAAATGGGTTTTATGTCTACATTTTATACTTATTTACTTTTTTTGAACTTAATTGTCACGTCTATGCTCACCAAAGATCACAAATTGAATTAGAGATTACAATGGTTGCAAGAGTAATTGAGTAAGATTTACGCTAGGAGCATCCTCCATCTGGGATTTGAATCCTACGATGGGATGTTCTTTCTCTACACTTATGTGTGCATTTCATATTCTTGAAAATATGAAATGTCTTTAATGTGTTTGGAGATGCATATAAGAAAATGTATATCTGAACGCATTTAAAATCACACAAGATTGTAGATCTATTCTATTTTAAATAAAATATGATTCGGAGATATATCTTTATATTAATTTGAGTGTATTTGAAATGTTTCGGGAATGATTTCAGACTTAGTAATTTTTTGAGGCTAAGTTATATTAAAATAAATTCAAGTATATTAAAGTAAAATGAAAATAAAAAGTCATATATTAAGTAAAGTAAATCTAAAAAATCAAGATCATGCATAACATTTATTCTAAAATACAAAAAAAGAAAAAAATACTAACTTGTCTAAAAAAATAATACTAACTTGTCTTTTTTTTTTTCTTCTTAAGTTCAGACTTTGAGAGGATTTGGAGAAGGGAGAGAGAGAGGGACACGAAATTGGAGAAGGAAGAGAGAATTTTATATTGGAAAGTTGTTTTTTCGGCATTTCAGTTAGTGTAACCGGTTATTGGATATGTGATAATCAATTACATGTTTTTTACACTAGAAACAGTGGCTAGAGGGTTGTGGTAACTGTCGACGCGGGATTCGGTCAAGGTTGTCCCTTTTTTTCTACATGTAAACTTTTAATTTATTCCAGGAAAAGAAAGGGGAAAAAATTTAAATAAACCCGTAGGTGCGTGCAATGCAATGCACTAAGAGATTTGAGAATCAAGATTGATTATCTAACGGAAGGTATTAGCACCCTAAGTATCTATAGCATTCTATAAGAACCTCTTGCATATATTTGTATTTATTGTTGATTAGTCATTTGCTGTGTGTTGGAGATTTATTGACTGTTTTGAGTGAGTGATAAGAGATGTTTTTGTTTTGTTGTGTAAGTTCAAATGGTTTGAGATAAATGTATGGGAACCTAAGGGTTTTACTTATGACTATGCTCGCTAAGATCTCACAATCTTATATCTACGTATTCTCAACAAAAAATTTGAGAAATCAGAGCGTTCATAGTTCAACCTACTAATGGGTGGATTTGAGTTTGTTGAGAAGAGACAAATTGTCATCCTAAGAGGGAGATATGTCACTTATTCACCATAAACACTTTGAGAAAGTAATAAGAGAAGAAGTTTTGAACTTAGATGTAGAAAATTCAGAGTAATGCTACATCTTCCTTTAAATGAGTCTTTGCATATTAAGAGAGAGACATTGACTTGAATTTAAAATCAACAAGTGTGTCACTTACATCACTTAAAATGAAAGAAGTGTTTTTGTACCATAACAGAGAGACTCTAGTTTGGATTTTGAATCAACAAGTGTGTCACTTACATCACTTAAATGGAAAAAGTTTTGGAAAAGTTTGATTGAATGTTGTGTGAAATAGAAGAGATATCTCTCCCATAGAGATGACTCATGTCTCATCTCTGGGGGAAGTGTTTTGAGTTTGAATCCATTGGCTAGGATTTGATTTGAAGTTTAAAGGTTTGAAGCCACAAGGGGAAATGTGTTTGACTTTAATACTTTAAAGGAGGAGTTCTCATCTCTTTGTTGAAGAATCTTGAAGTCTGATTTTCTTGTATAAAGCCTAAGAGAAGACTAGGTTGATTGTGAAGTTTCATTGTACAAAGCCCAAGAGGAGGTTAAGTTGATAAGGTTGGAACTTCAACAGGAGAGACCTAATGTTTGAGCTAGGTTGTAGTTGAAGGGAATCCTAATATTTTTGTGTTACAAACAAAAAAGAACCACTAAAAGGTTTCTCGTTAGGATCTCACAATTCTATGCCTACATATCCTTAAGAAGAAAGTCAGAGCAATTGTAGTTCGACCCTAAGTCTGAAGTGTAAAAAATGTCAAGAGAAACTTAACAAGGTAAGTTTATTTAAGCTTATAAACAAGTTTGGTCTTCAAGGATGACATGAGTGTGGTATGTCTAAGCATGATGTAACAATATGTGAATGTGCATCAATCAAAGATATGTATCTATCATGGTAACCGTTTATGAAGGAAATACTTAAACAAATGAGCAAAGATTTAATCAAGGAAATTAATCACAAATAAGTTCAAACAAGCAATGTATTCAAGGTGATTAAAGATCAAATGAACAAGGAAAGGGTGATAAGAAACCCTAATGGAAGTTTCATACAGGAAAATTTCTGAGCAAGACATTCAACCATGGTTGAACCAAGGACTTTTGGGAATCCAAACCCAAGTGGAAGCCCAAGTCAAACATCAAGGATACTTCCAAGGAAAGAAGTTATTTGAAATAAAGCATTAGGGTTTCAAAAGAAATCAACATATTTTCATAAGAAAACAATACCTAAACAAGGTATGGGTAGAGTATAAGTCCAAGAAAATCAAGTTAAATATTTTGAACAAGATTTACACAAAGCGGACTATGACCATAAAGACATGTATGTACAATTATGTCAAGGAGAAATAACAAGAAATTATGAAAAGGTATGAAAAACACCTTAAAAAATCATGATTTTCCACTTTAAAAAAATGACAAAAATAAATATTATTTTTAATTTTTTTAAAGGATTCTAAAAATATAAAATATAAATGATAAGTGTGATAAAAATTAGCTCAAAAAGATTAAATTTTATTATTGAAATAATTGAATGAATTTGTGAAGAAAAGTGAAGAAAAATAGTGCTAAAAAATTAGAGCAATGAACCCCCATGGGTGTTGAACCTGATGGTTTTAAAAGATAACCATATGAGCCACGCGTGTGTGGTTGATAAATAATAGTTAGTGAAAATAATATAGAAAGTTTTTTTTGAAATGCTTTTAAAAAAATAAAATCAAAAGGTCTAGGGCGAGGGGGATTCTCCCCAGACCTCACACTCACAAGCCTTCCAAACACACGCCTTAACCACTGGGCTGGTGATACATCCGTGTATCAAACCACACCCAATTAAATATATTTTAAAACAACATGAATTGCAGAAATGGCGCCACCACCATTGTCGTTTTCATCATCTTCATCAAAAAATTTGAAAATCCTAACTCCCTCAATACGTAATAAAATGACATGATGTTGTCGCTACTGCGAAAAACGAGGCCGACAATGACAGAAGAGTCGGCACCGTGCGTTATTTATCCCAAAGGAGGGAAAAGAAACACTCAGAGAAAACCTAACGAAAAGGGAAAGGAATGGTCATCGCAACCAAGTTCTGGATTCGGGAGTCGGTTACACAAGGGGAAGGTATTAGCATCCCTCACGTCCATCTTACTCGATGGGATCCACGCTTGTTGTTTATCGGAAAATGGTGTGTTTAAACTATCTATGCTAAAGGATGGTCTGAAAAGAAAAGAAAAGTGACTCGGCAGAACACAACAATTCTATGCCTACGTATTCCCGTCTAGAACGAGAAATCAGAGTCAACGTAGTTCGCCTAACTACGGGTGAAGGGGGGGAAGCTTGCTCGCCGAGATATCGCATCTCGTGCCTACGTACTTTCATGCGGCATGAAATATCAGAGCAAACGTAGTTCGGGCTACGAAGAACACAGGTTTGTTCAACAGCTTTTATCCAAGTAAAGTTAACAATCAGTTTCAGCAGTTGGTGTTTGCAGCTCGACCTTTGGAGACTTAGGCGTTACCGTTTGCGATAGAACTGAAAGTTAACAGAACTCTCCTTTAAGAAAAGGGTTTTCCTGATTAAGAGTCCAATAGGACAAAAAGGATTTGAATGTTTGTTTTTGAAGTCTTTTACTGAAGAAGTGAATTGAGTTCTGTTCGTAACTCGTGTTGCACTAAAGACTTGGACTTAAGAGTGAATGCGTCGCATGTCACCCAAAGGGTACCACACTAAACATTCAAGCTATGTGAGGGAAACCCTCCCATAACTCTTTCTCAAGTGGCTTAAGGCTCGTAACGCACAACACGTGTTATCCTTTATTAAGCGTTTTAACTGTACTTGAAGATGAGAAGAGAATGACACAACTAAGGGGAAACTGACTCAATCCTACAGTTATCATGCAGTATTTGTCCTATGGTTGAGGCTAGAAGGGAAGATAACTAATGTTATCATGCATGGTTAGAACCCTAATGTCTGTCATAACTTCCCTTGAACAAGAGAAGTCAGAGTTCCTAGGGGAACATGGCAAAGGAAAGCAACAGTAAACAAATCAACTGAAATGAAATTACTGTAAACAAAATACTGTAAGTAAAATGCATGCAATGCATCACACAAGCAGAAGAAGTCAAGCTCAACTTCTAAATCAAACAAGGCACAAAGGCCCCACACCACAGAAGCAAGGTAGAAGCTCAACCTTAAACCAGCAAGCAAAGCCATACAGTAAAAAGCAAGCAGAGGGAAACAATCAACCTCTAATGAAAACAAGCAAGGGGAGAAGCTCAACCTTTAGGATTATCTTAGGCCTATGATTATATACATTAAGCCTATTTCTAATGCAACACTCCAAGCAAGTCACATCAATACAACAAAGCAAACAAGAAATACAGACAAATAAGACAACAAGTCAACAGCTTCACAGCAAAGCCACTCTCCGACAGCAATCCAAATCAACAGTCTGTAAATCAACCTTCAAGCTCAAG